TATTCTCTCAAGGATTTATTACTTCAGAATTCATGACTATATACAACTAAACGCACTTATTAAAAATATGGATGAATTTTTAAACGAACATCAGGCGGTATTTGCACAATTTTAATCAATTAAGCCAATCAATAGCGATAGTAATATGTCCACTAATATTCAAAGGAATTCAGGTTAAACTTATTGTTATTGATTCAATTGCATTCCACTTTCGCACGGAATTGGAGCTATCAATTCGGACACGAGTGCTTCAAATGATAGCACAAAAGCTGGAAGATATTGCAGAATCATTCGAAATTGCAGTAAGCAAAATGCAATTATACAATTGTTATTATTATTATTATTTTTTTTTTAATAGAATGTTTTTAATCTGACGTGTTTCCTTACAGATCGTTCTGATGAATCAAATGACCACAAAATTTGGCGGAAATAGCGGGCCAGACAATACAACATTAGCACCAGCATTAGGTATGTTATTTTATGATGTTATTAGTAAGTTTAACATTCAACAAATTTTGATGTGTTTATTATGTGCAGGTGACATCTTAAGTGAGGCATGTTCGGATCGCGTATTACTTTTTTGCCGTGAGGAAGAAAGGTAACATACAGCGCACTACAATTTTACTACAGTATATAGCTACTAATTAATTATCGTTACTATTTAATGGTTCAAACAGGTTTGCACATTTATTTAAGTCAGCAACGAAGCCTGAGCTGCAAGCCACATCTGTACAATATCAAATTATTGTAAGTAAAGTCTTTGAAGGAAATCATAATTAAATTTATTTTAAAATGAAATTTTGTATTTTTTTTTTTTTTCTCAATTAGAAAGATGGAATTCGTGATAGCTTATAGTAAAATTTTATATAAATTTTTTTTTAAAACTTGAAAAGTAATTTTATAAGCAAAATTTTGAGATATTAATATATCTGTATTTTATACACAAGTGTAAAAATAGAAATTGTCTTAAAATTAAATATAATATAAAATTTTAAAATTTTTTAAAAAAATTTAACTATAATTATTAATAGTATTACTATTATATTTTAAGAGTAATATAAAATAAAATATTATTTTTATAAAAAAATATAAGTTTTAATATAACATAAAATTTACAATTATATTTTGCAAAATTTATATAGTAAAATTATAGTAAAAATACAAAGTTTTAAGGGTAGGGGTACAAATTATAAATTATATATAA